GGCTTGACAGCACAATCCACAGACAGAGGAAAAACCACAGAGACACTGAAGACACTGAGACAAAGATGATTAGAGACAGGTGAGACAGGAGCTGAACAACAAGGACAAAAACACTAGGGAGAGCAGGAAAACACAAGGATTACAGAAAAGACAGGACAAAAACACAGGATCCCACACTTTCTTCTTATTTTAGCTGTTCAATATTCAGGAGTTACACAGTGAGTCATCCTCAGTAATCTCACTTTGTCCTCTGCATCTTCTGTCTCCTGGCACATTTCTCTCCTTGTGGTCTTTGGCTAACAGTAGCACAATTTCCACCGTCACCCAATTTGTCAAAATAACTATTGGCAGTCATTGTTAACCTGAATGTGACACCTGACTCTTACTGGTGTCACACCGGATGCTCTTTCTGATTCAACTCTCACCATTTATCTGGGTTTGGGACTGGAATAAGAGATACATTGATACAGAGATACTGGTTTTGTATGTGCAATTGTTGGTATGAATATACTAATTTGGGAACGTTGCACTACAGTGTAGCCTTCCAAAGGCTTGTACTTACAAATAATTATTTGTGTTGACATGCCATTCAAGACGATTGCTAGTCTATAATGAAACATGCTATGAGATTATTCTCTGTTTACCACCAAACATTAAGAGACATTAACAACAAAAAAGGTAAAATCATGCCATCTGGAGCAATTTCTTTAAATGAGAAATCTCCCATCTGGAAGACTTCTTCAGTCTGTGGCCTGCCAACCAGATCTGTCCTGTAGGTAGCCTTCATTGGTGAATGAACCTTTTCTGAACCACTTTGGCCTTGGTTGTCCTCAGGCTGTTTCTGTGAGTAGCAAGTTGGCCATCTGGCCTAAAATATTTGATTGTTATACATGATGACTGATCTTTTTGGATGGGTGGGCCCTGTTTGCATGTGTTAAAAGCCAGCTTCTGAGATTCCAACAGGAGGCTGACTACAAGATCAAGGTCACGGTCATGGAAACAATCTCAAATATACCCATGAACAGCACTCTGTTAGCAAGGCATGTTTTTTTTAGCATATAGCTGTATTCTGACATAATCGGAGAAAGTTATGCAAAAGTTAGGGCATAGGAAGAACCCAGGTGAGCATCTCAAGAACATGTAAAATAGCATGAGAAAAGCTATTTGACGAAAACTGAGGTTTTCTAAATTTGCTGGAATCCAATCACATTTGAATGGGTCATGAAGAGAACAGCAAAGTCGTTGTTTAGTGTGAAGGGGCCTTTGGAACATTTAAAAAAAAAAAAAAAAGTTCAATCTGGTCCTCTGGACATTCAAAAAAACAAAAAACAAAACAAAGCAAAAAAATGTAGAAACGTTTCGTATCTCATCCAAGAGACTTCCTCAGTCTGAGGTGCTGTATTCAGCTCAGTCTCTTAAATAGCACCTTCACAGAGTGGATCAACCAGTTTGCTGCTGACAACCAAAACCAGCTGATCACATGCTCAAGAAGGACCATCAGCCTAACAATGGATCATTAGCACACTGATGGCTGTTTACTGTTCACAGAGGGCTGAGTGATACTAGCAATCACAGCATTGTAAGAGGGGGACAGTTGAACCCGGAGGCCTCCACCCCTGTTTAATGATGGAC